ATTACTACTGGAACGCATGGTAGAAAAATAACAGGTAGAATAACTATTGCTCGGTTATTGCCAGAAATAATTCACTTATCCGTTGCTTCATTCATTCATCCTCTTATTTCACCAGTTCCTACATCCATATTCAATGCACAACGTTTCTCGTCGTCTGCTAATCGGGCAAACAGCACAGGCTGCATTACAGTATTACGTACCGCGCAAAGTTCTACGTACCGGTCTTTATGTCCTCCATCTCCTTCAAGTCAAAACTTATTCCAAGAAGCCCAGGATACGTTAGAGTGAACAGCAGTGGACACATGGTTGTAAAACAGTTTTACGTAGCACGAACATTTGTAAGATGATTCATAGGTAGATTAGGTAAAGTAAACTAATAGTGGTAATTGCTGAATTTACAAACTCGCTTGCATCGTTGGTATCACAAAAATAGGTACGGCCTTCTGGAAAAACTGATCTGACGTTGTTGTCTAAGCTGTCGTATGGACTGCATATATTTCTAGAGGTTCTAAGCATGGACTGATCCCACTTAGCTTAAAAAGATTAATTTCAAGATAACGCTCGGAGAGACCTACATATTTTATGAGCTTTCAGAAAAACAGATTTTACAATACAGACATATGCCAATGAACAGAATAAAATGACAACGTCAAAACTAATCAGCGAGTAAAAAGCGGGCATTTTCAATCGGCTCATTTCCAGGATGAGCTTATTACCAATAATTCCCATGAGAAAGTTCAGATTTATGACCACATCAGAGTGTCGAAACCGAAATCAGCCGAAGACTATAACTGTGAGGAAAAACACTTCGAAGCCCGCCTTTTCGCCACTGACTGAGGATTGGAAACAGCAGCGTAGAGTCAACTTACTTCCGTGGTTAATAATTTGATTTTCAGCCAAGGCTGCATCAATTCGTTCGTCGGCTCTGATCTTCTGAATCCAATTACAACCAGTCAGAAACTACTTCAACGTTGGCTACGTGCTCTGAGTTAATCTAAGAGCCCCATAAATAAAGGTGGACAAAAGTCTTTTTGTAGAAGTATGTACACAATCAACTGAATAATGCGAGAAACACCGTCGTTTCCAGACGAGTGCATTTGTCGATGACAAACATAAGAACAACGGGAATACGATAATGTATACTGATATGACGTTCGCTTTGCATTTATACTGTACAACGTACACTTTTCCGAAAAGACTAGCCTGTTGGGTGAAGAAACTTCGTTTTCAGAAGTCTGAGTAATAACAACCATTAAAATGGGACTGTTCAGTTAGTAGAGCGTCAGACTCAGAACCGAAAGCTCCCGGGTTCGAGCTCTGATCGAGTGACTAGCCTTTCTATCTTGCGAGGTTGACAATGAGTACCACTTGGTAGGAAAAACAAGACACTATGTTTGTCAGAGTTGCTGCTGATTTTACTTTAAAATAAGGTCTGCTTCTGGCTGATGGCATACAAATAGGGGTAAGCGCCTGACCATTAATTTCACGAAAAGAGCGGCAAAAGAAATGACTCCATCGTGATAGTGTAATGATGATTAAGGTTAAAAACTTTACTTCCTTCTACAAAAGTCGCCAACGGGCCTCAGAATGAAACAAATAAGTAGTCAGAAATTAATCGAATCCATAATCTCACAACGAATTAAAATATTTTTATCAATGACGCAATTAAATTAATTTGTTGTGCTTATTAAATTATTAATCAGAGCTCGAGACATGATTAATGCGCTGGGTGTTGGTTTTTGACGAGAATCGAAGAGGAACAGTGATGGCTTTGCGAATCCTTCGGCTTAATGAATGGCGTTTAGTACCGGCTCCCGATGCGGCGTGGCATCTGTCAAATGCGACTCGATTGCTTTTCGGTAAAACAAGACCGAAACCGAGGCCAAGCAAGCTTTAAGCCACAACTGAACGAAAACATGGTCTCTGATCCAAAAAAGATATAAACCAACCGAAAGTTTAAGAAAGAGTGATGTCTAAATAAAATACCTAACTAAAGCAGCTTTCTAAACAATCGAGGATAAAGACTAAAGAGCCACGTAATATAAAAGTTCAGCCGGAACTCAAAAAGTCATTTATTCTTTTCAAGATGAATCCGGCAGCACAAAGGATCTGTCATTATTCCACCTTACAGCCGTTGTCAAGCACCCTTATTACCAGACTACCTGAGGAGACTGGATGAGTAACCAAAAAAATATAAACGACGGACGCGGGGTGGAAATCTATAGTGACAGTGCCAGCATAAACATAACAAAAATGGAATCTGTGACAAAACAGCGAACCTAGTTTTGCAATACTTCTGCAATACAGTCCGATACGTCAGATCATTACAGAGATCGTAATCCGAGAGAAAAGACTATTCTTGTCCGTACTTAATATTACAATGATTGGCATATGTACATGGTTTATTATAACCGTTCCGTTTCAATAAGAATCTTAAACGGGTGAGAGTAGACATAGATCAGTTTTGCGCTATACGGATGATGTGAAAGGTTTCCGTGTAAACAAACGATTGGCTTCAAAGTTGCACTGCTTCAGTCCGTCTGTCAATTTCGACGATCGCTATTCGTTTCGGATCACATAGACAGGCGCATACGTCACACAGCGTCTTCCACATCTCGAGGTGGCTACACAAACCCCAACCATCAGCGAAGCAGAAGAATTCCTGAGCAAAGATGTAAAAGTTCCTTGATGATCACTGTACGACCCGGAAGCTGGATAGAATCCATAATATACTAATGCTATGAACTTTTACTTTCTCAAATACTGATGCCATGAGAAGACAAAACATGATTGCACTTCCTAATATCTAGACTTTATTGGTGGCCGGAAAGTCACGTATTAGGATCACCTACAGTTGCACTCAAGCAATGAAATTCTCATCTTTTAGCGACAATTGACTGAACATTTAATGCACTGATTCTTCGAATAGTAACCTAGCCTTAAACCTAGTCTACTCTACAGCTAACTATTCGTGGTCTTTCTGATCTCACAGATCAGAAGTCAATCTAACAAATAAGCAATAACAATCAGTCAAATATAAACAGATTTTTTAATCATATCTGATACAGGAAAAGATGACTGGAAGACTGGAAAAACGTGACCAACTTATTTTATTCTTTATGCTGATCAATCAACGGTTCAGACAGGTGAACATGGAATTTCTATACCACTGTGACGTTTTTCAGCAACAACGGCGGTAAATTACGAGGGAGAAAATTAAACTTTCAAAACAAAGGATTCTTTCAATTGAAGAAGGATATCACTAGTCACATACTGAAGTTTCGACTGCGATTTTTAAAAAAAACTGGCTATGCGCTGTTCTACTGGCACAACAGAAGGTTTATGACGATCGCGCACAACAGGTCTGAGGGAAAACATCAGAAACTCATCGTAAATCTTAGAATCGAACAGTCCGGTATTTCGCTGTTGATTCGAAAATCTACTACAGACGTGCAACTGGAGGTTAAAGAACCTTTGCTTCGTGACTATGATGAAATCCAAAATGTGAAACACATTTTGAACAAGTGCCGCAATATAAACAGCCTCAGATGCGCATCATTTCACCGATGCTTAACGGTAGTTATCACAGACTATCAGCACTTGTGATAAACGTGCGATTTGTTGCCTGTCTATATTTCAGCTGGAAACCGAAACAGTCTTTCACATCGAAGTCAGCAAGCAACATTAAGCAGTAAGGTAGAGAGGCAAACCTGTTTTCAAAGAGGAATCATTTCAACAAATAAGATACGGTAGTCAGTGCCTCACAGTAAAAGTGCTGTAAAGTTGCAATGCGCTGTAAAGCAAACATTCCACTTATGCAAACGGCTCAAACTGATGATATACAACTCGGCTGATAAACAAATATATATAGGCACAACTATTCATATTTAAAAAAGAAATACGCGAACAGATTCTGAACAACAAGTACTAAAACTAATACTTGTCACAGTCCACAGTATGGTTTAATAAACAATGGCTTGTTGCTCGTTTTTAACTAGTGAGGGTGCTAAACTTAGAGAAACAACATTTCAGATATAAGCAAAGTTCACAACATCGTTCTTACTTACCGAGCAGGTTATTGTCTTCCCACATTTTAATACAGATGCTCGGACAGTCGACCATTCCGATGCCTTTCTGATCATACGGCTGATCACATTGGTAACTGAAGTTGATCGGTCTGCTGAATGCCTGAGATAAAACGGTCCAAGCGCTCTCGTAGTAGGGCGACATGCAACTGTAGCACTTAATGGTGTCTGAAACAGAGGCAGTATTAATTCGTGAAACTTTCAACTATTGTTAATATGTGATATTTGGGAATACTTATACGTCGCTAAGCTTATCTTTGAATGAGTGGTTTTCTCAAAATTGTCTGGTTTATATATTGCGGTGATTATCGCACGGCCTTAAAATACGCTCGCATTACGCGGCATAGCCGTACACCTCGCACACTC